ATTGAGAATAGATTCAATATTGTTTGTCTTTGTTAATATTTTTTATAGTGTAGTCTTGGCGAAATTGGTGAATAAAGAAGTATAAAATACAATCATAATAGTGTACAAGTTTAAATAATTATAGTCGAATTTCGACTATTGCGGGACCTCTAGTATATATAAAAATGAATTGCTGTTCGTTAGTCTCGCTAAAACTCGAGAACGACTGGACCGATTTGACTAATTTTCGTCTTGAATTATTTCTGGAAGTCTAGAGAAGGTTTCAAAGGTAGATAAATATAGGGTGGCCCATAAGTCCTTTGAAAAGTAAAATTTGAATAAAACGAACAGGGCGCGCGTGAGCGGTGCAGGGGAAGCGGGGGGAGTAACTTCGGTTTCTGGGAATTTAGTCGCGATGGAGCGTTTTACCGGAGCGGACCGTGCGTTTTGTGTGCGCGAGTTTTATAAAAACGACAATTCGGCAACCGTTGCGCGGCGTAAATTTCGAGAACACAAAGGTTTACACAACTTTGACGACACTCCAACTCTTCAAACGATTAAGAACTGGGTTGCTAAGTTCGAGGAGACCGGTTCGACGTTAGATAAACCGCGGTTGGGTCGCCCAAGGACGTCACGTACGGAACAAAACATAGACACAGTGACACAGTCTATTCGCGAAAATCCGACACAGTCAACTCGTAAGCGCGCCAGAGCATTAAACGTATCCAGGACATCGTTACAACGGATTTTGAAGAAAGATTTACATATGCACCCTTACAAAATTCAGTTGGTTCAAGAATTAAAGGAAACTGACGGTATTCAAAGACAAAATTATGCGAATGAAATGTTGAATCGGTTTACTTCCTTCAATAACATAATGTTCTCTGACGAGGCTCATTTCCATCTTAACGGGCATGTTAGTAAACAAAATTGCCGCTATTGGAGCCCCATCAATCCAAAACTTAAGCATCAGAAGCCCTTACATAGTCCGAAAGTGACTGTTTGGGCCGCTATGTCAGCCCATGGTATCCTAGGGCCTTACTTCTTTGAGGATGGCAGAGGGCGCGCAGTTACTGTTACGTCGGAGCGATATGTGGCTATGATCGAAGAGTTTTTCATACCAGAATTGCAAAACTTTTCAGGCTTTAATGCCAGGACGTGGTTTCAACAGGATGGGGCCACTTCTCACACCTCTAACACTGCTATGCCCGTTATCCGTCAACTTTTTCCTGGCAAAGTTATCTCTAAGAGAGGAGACATTTCCTGGCCTCCACGTAGTCCAGATCTGACCCCGATGGATTTTTTTTTGTGGGGCTACCTTAAGGCTAAAGTATACGACACAAACCCGCGGTCAATTGAGGCCCTAAAAGAAAACATCCGCAGAGAAATGACAAGCATTTCAGCAGTGACGTGCCGCGCAGTCATCGACAATTTTAGACGTCGTTTGCAAGAGTGCCGTGATCGCAACGGATTACATTTAGGAGATGTTATTTTCAAAAAATAATTCCCGTTTTTTAAGCTTTTTATGTAAATAAAAATTTAATTCATAATGTAATTAGTTTTATTTTAATAAATTTTTTTTCATATCAAAGGACTTATGGGCCACCCTGTATGAAAATGCTCGAAATTAAATAAAAATAACAATTTTGTTTTTCCTTTGATGTCCCCCCCGTCGGACGGATTCCTTTTGTTTGTTTTAAGTTTATTTTATACAAAAGCTGCCGGGTCAGCTAGTAATTTATATAAATGGCTTCCACGTTGTTTGAATTTTACAGTATTGGAAATATATGAGCGAAGTAAGGGGTATGAGAGGGATTAAATTTTAAATTTGTTTTATTGGTCTAGAGAGGATCGTATTTTTCGGCACTTTTCGTGTTTAGTGGTAACCTTTACGTGGCTTTTGGATAACAACGCGAACGCCGCCACCCACTTTAAGATATGAGGCTGAATATTCAACAAAATTACGATAAAACGTCTCTAATATGTTTGTAATTAAGCGGCAGTTGATTCGGGTATTAAATAGGTATGCGATATTGAGATTAATATGTAAATGTACCCAAGATAAAAATTTAGGTGAGGATGAAGAGCGGATGTATGTACTTAAGTTATTTTTTATAAACGACATTGTTGTGGTACTAGAGTTTAGATAAAATAGTTGTTTAAAAAAACACCACCCGGAATATATAATAGTAGCTAGTAGTGTCAAGTATCATCAAGTAATCAAGTGTCTAATGGCAAACGTTTGTGACGCAGCGCGACGGTCTCTTGCTATTTCCCTTTATCCACTATTGTAAACAAAAACAAATATAACTTGCAAAATCTCAATACTAATGTTGTTTTTCTGTAAACGCAAATGCATGCATATGTGCTTTGTAGCGGCGTGTAAAAAAATTTTCTTTTCAATTTTATTAAATTATTCATTCTTAAGAACGTCTTCAGTAACTTTTTGATTTGAATACGAGACAAACATAGGACCGAGCTTACGAGAAAATGCGATAGACTAAGTAGTTCTGAAGAATTTATTTCTAACTGTAAATATGTTTTTTTTTTGCACTACACTACTAAACGCTCCATAATTCGTTTGCTTCAGGCTTCAATTAACCATTTTGTATTGTGGCTGTCTCACCCTTTAAATCGGAATTATTGATAGTGATTACCATACCTGTGAATTCAGAGAACGCTACCACCAGAAAAAATCTCGTGAATAGGTAGACTACTACTTTACTAGGTACTAATTATTTGGTAATAAGTGGTCTAATTCGCTAGTAAAATGGCTAATGCGCGTGATTACTCGACGGTATTTGATTCCCACATCGGGCAAATATTCGTGTGATGAACAGTTTTGTTTTCTCTTTTCCTGGGTATTAAATACATTTAAACGTATTTAAGTAATGTATGAATGTATATATGTCTCTGGTTCCCATAGTACATACAGGGAACCATAGTTTGGGACTAGTACACTTAAGTTATTATTATTATAACATCATTATAATATTACGGGTTGAAGGCATTATTTTCAAGAAAACCTTGATAGACCCAGAAATAAATAAAATCTCTAAGATAACACAGACAACGTAAACAAAAACGTTTTATTACATGTTAATCGCGTCGGATGACTGATTCTTGTGTCATAGGTTCAACTTATTGCGCCTAATACTGAACTGCGACCCAGTTAACTATCAACACTGTCTGGCCTAGATAACCATGGTTAAATGCGACGTTTGCTTATAGGCGTTTCGATTTAGACGCAACGAATCAATGTAAACAGATGATGGTTAAGTAAGAGGGACGTCACTAGACTATGTCGGAAATTTGGCACTGTTGCTTGATCTCTCCGATCTAGAAAAAGACCCAAGATTAGGGGGAAACATGTAGTGCTGAAGGAAGACGGAATGCAATGTTACTGACGATTATGTCGAATACAGAGCGAAAAGAGGAGAAAAATAAGGAAAGCTGACCCCTTCATCACCGTGTGGGATGACTAGCTAGGAAGAGAGAAAGAAAGAGAAAATCAATGTAAAAATATGAGTGTATTCATATTCATTCAAGTTACGTAGTTTGCGTCTGATGACCGAAAGTTTGGTTTAATTGTTATTATGAATAGTTTAACAAGGTTAACGCATGTCGACGCCAAAGGCAAACAAGAATTACACGCCAGTTGAAATAAGTTTTTTAAGTTTCAATTAAGGCTCCAATTCGTGAGTGTGTATATTTATTAGTTGACAATTTTTTAAATATTAATAGCATGGACATAACAATGAGTTTAACGTTGATAAATTAAAAGGAAAATATATGATTAAAAACAATAAAAATAAAAACACTGGCACAGATCTCTTATCACTAACCAGAAATAGGTATCTAAAAAGTTGTATTTCTTAATTTTTAAATTACGATTTCCATGGCATGGTGGTGGTACCTACCCGTGCGGCCTCACAAGAGGTCCTACCACCAGTAATTAAAAAAACACTAAAATCGGGAAACGTTTTGTATACTATCCGTTTCAATTGTTTGTCCTGTGTCGGGCGAGTATTTTTTATTTATTTACTGTATAAGCCCTTTGATATTTAAGCAATCTGTTGTAGGAACAGCTTAATAGCGGAGCTGCGTAATAAGTGCACAAGTGTAAATTTATGTGGGTCAGACGACGTAGGATCGTTAGTGGCGAAATCTCTTTTATCAATTTAGTTGAACGTCACTAGAGGATGCAGAGGTCGGTTATTCGAACTTGACCTAATTAGAGTAGAATATCAAATAGTGTGAAGTTCGCAGTGATGGATTTGCGCCTAGGCCCGTGAGGCCGGGGCCTAGCGTGGCATGATATGAGAGGCGGCAAAATTTTTAAAATGCCAAAATTTCAGAGACGAACAAAAATAAGACAGTAAGTAGTCTCTTTTGAAAATAAGTTCAGATGAATTTTCATAAAAAACGAATTATAAAGTTATTTTAAATTTAATTAAATTGGACGAAGCCTAAATCCATCTGCTGTCCGAAAAAAATTAGAGTAGAGTATGCCAATATAATAATTAAATCAAAATCGTAGAATTGAATCTCATGTTTATTTCATTATTATGTTTGTTTCGGATGTTTAGAATACTTGAGTGATCGTGGTTGCGAACCACTAAGGCGTTATGCGTTCATATTTGAATATCGTCTACTTTTCTATAAAATAATTTACGAAAACCAGCCACATACAAATAGTATATAAGCCAAAGAGATTTTATTACATGTTCATACATATTATAATTCTAAAACACCTTTTCCCCAACCTATTATAAGCGTGTGTAGGTATGTCAAATACGAGGTAGTTTCTGTGTAATGTTTGATTTACTGTATTTTTTATGCATAATTTAAAAAAAATAGCATTCTGCACTCCTTCTCTATAAGTGTAGGAAATTTCATACTCCTCCCTCCGCGCAATTTTCGTACAAACAAAGTTTTAGCTTCACGTATTAACATTTGAATTTCTATTTTGACAGGAGCCTTAGCAAAAACTCTATGTTTGATTAAATGTCGGTTCTCAGAATTGAGTGAAGAATGGGCATTAGCTGATTGCGAAGGCGAGGGCTGGTGGCGCGAAGTCCGAGATCCGAACAGCAAGATGGACGTCCGCTACGCCGGCTCGGCCCCGGTCGAGCGAGCCGCTTCAGCCCCCGCCACCGCTATTGGTGTACGCACCGCCTTACAGTCTGCCAAAAGTAAGCCACTTGAAAAGTACATCGTTTACGATTCTAACATGTCACAGGGTAAAAATAAAGTGGTTACAGATACTTCTATCAGAAGACGGTCCTTGACCCCTAATTTATTTCCCTATACTTTTTTGTTTAGTAGCTATTTTTTTTAAGGGATTTTATGACCTGGTAACTAAGACCTTTAGGTCAAGTCTTATTTTAATTTATATGCTTATTTTTATGAAAAATGATAATATGAAGTGAAACGAAATGAAATAAAATGAAATGAGATGAGATGATATGGTATGAAATATAATCTCAGTAAAATTGTGATCATTTACTGAGACTTTTATAGTGGATTTTTTGGAGGATCCCGAGAAATTACGTTCGGCGGCTTTGTTTGATTTTTCCACATTTGTGCACTTTCACAGATACTAAACAGTTAATAAATCACCGTTATTACATATTTAAACGTGAAGAAACACTAAATAGAGAAAATAAAACAAATATAACAAAAATAAAACATATATATGAAAATAAAACACGAACTTAGTGTTACCATAATTTTTTTTTGGAAATTGTCATTTCCTTTTCTTAAAAATATCAAACCCTTCGAACAAAAGTAACAGATAAATGTAATCTAAATCTTATAATGCCAATGCATATGGTCGAATTTCAATCTTCAGACGAACATTAATCATTGTAATTGTTTTTATTGCAGCCCTGAAGAAGAAACCTCAAAAAGTTAACGTCGACATCAACATAAAAGGAATCATTGTGACTGATGCTGAAACAGAGAATAACGTATTAGCGGTTTCCATTTACAGGTAACTCATTAAAATTAACTTAAAATGTACTAGTTTCGTTGGCTTTCCCGAGTCTTAGACACGAGGAATTAGAACCACTTTTTACTAACAAGCTGACACGAATAATAAATAAATAAATATTTTAATAACAATCACGCCACGTTAACTGGTCCCGTGCTAAGTTCGTAAAGAACTTGTGTTACATGTACCAGATAACGGAAATAAATTATGTAAGATTTTTATTATACACATACATATATTTAATATTTAATATACATCCATAACCCTGGAAAAGACATTTATATTTATCATACAAATAAATATATATTCCCTTGGCGGGATTCGAACCCGCGACCCCCTTGTGTAGTGACCATGTCACTTACCACTACACCAGACGGCCATTAAATTAGGCCGAGGAATTAGAACCACTTTTTACTAAAAAGTTTTCAAAGTTTTGACTTGTATCTAAGTAACGCAAAACTTCCATCGTAATTTGCGCTTATTACAGGACGTTCGAATGATTTCAAAATTTACATAAGTGTCAAGGACCGATGTTAAAACAACAATTTTATTACTTTGTCCTGATATCCTGACCCCAGTAACGTGTTTTTAAACTAAGCTCTTATGCGGTTCAATCTGATAACAAACGTTGAATATTACCGTATAAATAATTCAAATTAAGTATTTATGTTTGACATTGGAGTAGCACTAGCCGTAATAGCCTCTGTGTTACGAATTATTTCTTTGAAAACGATGGTGTAACATTGAGTCCAAGCCATTCCATCGTATTTTTGTCTTTCTTTATTTTTCCCTACCTATTTGCTGGTAGCCTAAGAAGCTATTCCAGTTACGCGCGGACGGGTAGGTGAGCTAACGGGTTCAACCTGAGAGAGCTTGCTAACACTAGCAGATCCTGCCCTAGTAAGAGCAGTGCTTCGCAGAATCTACCACCGGATCGGAATCGCGACCCGAAGAGCCCTGCATTGCGTCCCGCTCGATCTTCCTGCGCTCGCTAATATCGAAGCATCAGTGTGCCGAATCTCAGTGACGGGACACGCGCCGATCGTTATCGCGTCCGTTTATCTTCCACCGGATAAGATCGTTCTAAGCAGTGATATCGAGGCGCTGCTCGGCATGGGGAGCTCTGTCATTCTGGCGGGCGACCTAAATTGTAAACACATCAGGTGGAACTCACACACCACAACCCTGAATGGCAGGCGGCTTGACGCGTTAGTTGATGATCTCGTTTTCGATATCGTCGCTCCGCTAACCCCGACTCACTACCCGCTAAATATCGCGCATCGCCCGGATATACTCGATATAGCGTTATTAAAAAACGTAACTCTGCGCTTACACTCGATCGAAGTAGTTTCAGAGTTAGATTCAGACCACCGTCCCGTCGTTATGAAGCTCGGTCGCGCTCCCGATTCCGTTCCCGTCACGAGGACTGTGGTGGATTGGCACACGCTGGGCATCAGCCTGGCTGAAT